GGGTTTACTCCGGGTGCTCCGGTTTCCTCCTACACTTTAAAGACATGCAGGTTAGGTTAATTGGCTGCTCTGTATATAGTATTATATGAATGTAATATTACTTTAATATATGTATATATTTAAACAATAAAAAATCTATATAGTATATTTACTTGTTTGTGCTTGTTTTATCACATATTTGCTCTGATTTCATGAAAGTTTCCTTTTCACCCACGCCCTGTAATCTTTGATTCAAGGGTAATAAGTAATCAAACCACAAGTACATACTGTAATGTGTTTATGATATGATGAGATTCATGAATAGGGTGATGTTTTATGAAGAAAACCACCTCACTGAGTCCATATGGTCCAACTTTTTCTAAAAGAGTTCATACGTAACTCTTTTAGAAAAAGTTTGTTTTTGGAAAAGAAGCTGCGCCATCTGAGGTACCAAACCAACAGTTGCAGCATTTGTGTTTGAGTACAAAAATGCTGCAAACAAGTACTGGTAAAGCACAATAAAACATGCGACTGCTCGGCTGAACACAAAGTGTCTCTTAAAATCTCAAAAGCGAAGGCATTCATTTGGCTGCTTGGGGAAAATGAGGGGGAGATTTAAGAACGTTGCAAGACTGATCTCCATCTCCTTCTGCTCTTTTAAAGAAACAAAAACAAAGAAATGTATCATTTTATTGTGTCACAATGCACATTAAAAAGAAAACATCTTTACACATTTATGCATCAATGATCCAGTAATAAAACGGGTGCAAACTGCATAATGAGAGTACTTATATACTATATGTTGAAGCTAATACTTTTGTACTACTTTAGTACAAAGTTGAATAAAGGACTTTTACTTTATTTCTATACTGTGTTATTAGTACTTGTACTTCCACCACTGGTAGCATCTGAACAACACAAAATAAAGGTACAAATAAAATAACTACATATATATATATATATTAAAGGTTTTACTACATACACTAAAAAAGTATGTGTGTTTTTTTTATTTTTTTACGGATACACATTTTTAATATTTAAATTTTAATACATTTTGTACATTTTGTAACCGGAAGTAAAACAATTCCATATCCGGGTGACGCGATGTTTACGATCCTGATGGTGGACGGCTGATGCTAAGTATCGAGGAAGAGAAAGCTGCATTTACAGCACATATTACGACCACTTCACTCACTAATGGCCTCTCAGATCCCCATTACCGTTCGGGCTCCGCCTGCAGCCGCCAGCTCCGCCGCTCTCCGGGGGAAGAAACGTCCCGGTAGTCCGGCGGTTTGTGCCGCTCCGCCGGCTACCGGGAGCAGCAACAGCGGCAAGAAGAAGAAAGGACAGCCGACAGCGACACAGACAACACCGGCACAGGTAACCGACTCATCTATTAGTCTCTACATTTATCTGTTACACTGTCTTTATTGTACGGGGTGTTCGTAGTCGGTGAACAGTAATGTTATTGGTTGCTCTGTTGCTGCTAGGCTAATACAGCTGTAATGTAACTTAGTGTAGTTACTAAACGTTATTTACAGTAAAATAGACACATAGAGGTTTTGTTCAGTTGTGCTAGAGTCTGTCTTTATATGTACTGTCAATGGTCTGTCCATAGCCGACACTAACTAGACGGATTAAACGTGCAAGGGAAGAAAAAATAGGGCTTCAAATATTATTATTATACTGAATAATCTGCACAAAATGCGGTAGGGCTGCACAATTAATCCAAGTATTATAGAAATATAATATAATATAATATTTTTTTCGGTAAAATGTGTGACAAGACAGCATTATAATGTAGTGCTGTAGTGCTACAGAGATGCCCTGGCAGATGGATCTTGTTCTGCAGATTTTTCCTGTTTGGTACAGACCCCCAAAAATTTCACATCATCATGATTTTAATACTTTTTTCAGTGAAAATTAGATTTTGTTAATGCAAAAATGATCCTTACCACTAATCACAAATCATACCGCAATCTCCTGATCTTCAAAATACTCGCAATATGATGTTTTTACAATACTGTGCAGTTATACAACCAATGCAAATCCCCAAAAGATTCTGTGTACTCATAATCATATGACAAAGAAAGCAGTGAGAGATTGTTTAACATTGTTGCCTTAAAGCTGACTAAAATGTCTAATCAATATCAAAATAGTTTGCAGAACTCATTTTCTGTCAATCAGCTGTTCAATTAGTCGACTAACTGTTTCAGGACTTAAGGTAGCCAAAAAGCCAAATAATCAGAACATCACAAACACACAGTGTACAAAACTGCATTATATACAGATATCTGATGTGTTCAGTGTTCTTCATTCACACAGATTCCCCATTGAACTCTTGTTAAATTGACAACAAGATGTGACAATAATGACTGATCAGAGCTTTACCTGTGCTGAAATGTATATTTATATACATAAATATATGTATTTTTTTCCAGTTTTGACCAAAACATATGAGCATCATGTGTCATAACAGCTACAAAACATTGAGGTTAATGTCACACTGTGTTTAACCAACTGCACACTTTGTTTACATTCAAAACACATGTAAAACAAGCTCAAATGTTATTACTGTTTGCTGAAGAGGTGTTGGCTTTCATGTTTCATCAGATAACAGGAGTGGAGGCGGTGGCTGAGGTGAAAGCGGTGGGAACAGCTGACAGCGCTGCGACTGCCACCACAGAGTCCACAGCAAAGCCTCCACCATTCAAAGACCCCACATTTATGGTGAGTGTCTGTGTCCATCTGGGGTTAAGTTTATCTGCTTCTGTTGCTTTTCCCTCAATTTTTGCCCTCTTTTTTTAATTCGCCCTTTCTTCATCTTGACAGCATTCGGGGATTGGTGGAGCAGCAGCAGGTAAAAAGAACAGGACCTGGAAGAATCTCAAACAGATTCTGGCTTTGGAGCGGACTTTACCCTGGAAGCTCAATGACCCCAACTGTAGGTGTTTGTATAATTCAAATTCTACCATATTTATGCATGTATTTTATTTTGTGCAACAGATATTACATTAAGTTTATTTTTATGTTTGCCATTTTAAAGCAAAAGTACATATTACTCTTTCTTAAAGTGACTTTATTCCACCGAAAACAAGAAACTAATACGTTCAATTTGTCTTAGTTAAAAATGCATTTAAGTTAATGTGCTAATTTTTTAGGCAAAAATCAGAAAACCTCACCTTAAATCTTTCCTCTTCTTTACTGTATGTCAAAGTTGTATATATATTACATTAAATATAAGACTGCAGTGATAAGTCAGTGTCACTTTTACAAGAAATGCTCTTAATGGTACAGTTTTAATCAGCAGTTTCTGTGTTCACAGACTACAACATTGATGCCCTTCCCTCCTTGAAGCCAACCAAGAAATACTCTGACATTTCTGGACTCCCTGTAAGTAATCGCTTTGCTAAAATCCTCATTGTACAATAAACAAAATGACTTCTAACTCTTCTATAACGCACCCTCTCTTGTCTGTCCGCAGGCAAACTACACGGACCCTCAGACAAAGCTACGCTTCACATCCTCTGAGGAGTTCTCCTACATCCGCCTCCTCCCCACTGATGTTGTTACTGGCTACCTTGCCCTTCGAAAGGCAACTTGCATCGTACCCTGACAGCAAGGCTTGAAACCTGAAACAGGTTCAAACCAGAACTGAACTCAGTGTAGGAATGCGTTGGGTCTGCCAGGAGACGCAGAGCACAGGCTGCTCACAGAGAGGCAACACATTTGTGAACGCCAGTGAAGAGACAACAGCTGGAGCTGTTGGCCGGGCTCTGCTAAACATTTGCTTTGCTGTCTTTAAGAAGACAATCTGAGTCAACTAGTCTCAGATTTTTTACTATGTACAACTTATATCAAAGAGTCTTCATTCAAAAGTCAGCAATAAGATATTCTTTTGCTTATTTGTTCAAATACATTTCTCAGTATCCTTGATGACATTTTTCCATTAAGTGTGCCTATAAACTCTGGGGAATGTTTGGCAACTTGACATGGATGTGCTCCTGCTAAATCCTCTGGGGAACATACAGTTGTTTGTCAACTGTTCAATACAGGCATTGCTGCTAGGATGCCCCCTTGTGGTCTTACATCTGTTTCCAATGGTGTAAATAAGAGAAGTTGTGGATAAAATGTTAGTGCTGTTGAAGTGAGTTTGTCCATTTCAGTCAGTTTCTTTTAATAAGGAGCCCATTAAAGCTAACTTTAACTTGGTATTAAACTCTCATTTTCTGTTCTTTCTCATATGTTGTTTTATATAAACATACAGTTTCTCAGTTGAAAGTGAAGTCAGAAACAAAATTGCTGGCTGAATATGTAATTACACTTGTTGGACATTGACATTAAAAACCCCTTTTGACAACAAGTACAACAAATATCCTCACCTGCTACTGTACTTAGCTGTTTTCGGATCTTCTGTTATATGCAGTAGCCTTTATATGTAAGCTGTGCAAATGTAACACCAAGCAGACTTTCACATGTGTCAGAATTTGATCCACATGGTTTTAATTCCACAGCTGCCTTTGATATATGATTTACTCTCTGATTGGTAGAGGGAGGATGTCTCATTAATCACACATGACGGGCATCCAGGATCAGTTCCATGGTATATTTTATGCTATTTTTTTCACAAACTTGATAAATGAGGACCAGCGTATTTCTCATGTGAATGATTCCCATTATGCAGAAACTAAGAATACTGCCACCAGAACAGTCAATGAGGATCACGAGCTTGTGAAAATTACAAAAGCTCTAATGAGTAATAATCAAACCTGCAACCTCCGCAAGTCCTTACCTGTCGAGATGGGAAGATACACGTGCCATTCTTCAGCTTCTGCATGTCTTTCTTGATGTGCTGTAAACACACACTGCCCAGTATTCTCTGTTAGCAATAGGTCAGCTGTGTGTGTTACCCTTTAAGGATACTGAAGTGGTCTTATTAGCAACAAATCTGGAAGAATCTGAATACGGCAACAATAAATTGATCCTACAGAATAAGTACTAATTACTCCCTGTGCTGCTTTAGACTTGTATACTGTACAGGGTATTTCTATGTGCCATGAGATCCCATTTCCCAAAAGCTATGAAAACCCTTAAATGAATGACACTGTTGCACTGGGTGGCAGAAATACATAAGTATTAGTATTTTCAGCAAATGACCAGTCTTCCTCTGAGTGTTAACTTCTCCCAACCCTGGACTTTAGGGAAGCTGATGGAGGCAGTATAGTATATCTATGAGAGTCAGACTAGCATTTCCATTCCTGCTGTGGCATCAAAACCTCAACATAGTGATTAATGAACGGTGCCAAGGCTTTCTGCTACCCAAGCACACGACCCACCAGAGTGTGTCTGTGTGTGTACAAGTGTGTGTGTGTGTGCTTTCACGTTTTGTGGCATCTTTGCCACCTTTGTCTACTAAAGAAAACCTACAGTGAATCAGTTTAGTTTTGTGTTTAAACGGCTGTGTAAGGCTGTATAAGGATTTAACATTATTAATAAAAGTCCTCAACAGTGTAGTGATATAAACCTGTTTTATACATGCTTTATTTGAGTGTCTATATGTATTTATTTATTACCTATTTCTGAGTCTACCTACTCTAAACACATTATGTAGCCAACACATCCTGTAGGTTGACCTGTCTTTGCAGTCACACTTTGTCACCACCTGGGTGTGCCAGAGCTCTGCTCATTCTCCATACAACCTTGCTGAGTGTGTTTGGCGTCTCAGTCCCACAATGAGCTAAGTCAGTCAAGTTGAATGAATGTGTCCATCTCCGAGCAACCTCTGGAATTTATCCACTTGTCCTGATGAAGGAGAACTGAACACTGCCTTCCATACATCAGCAGGCGATTAATAAATACTAGTGAAAGGATGTATTAAATTAAGTGAACAGGCTAAATAACAATATCATTAAAAGAAGTGACACCTTTTAAGAGATAAATATTATAGCTACTGCTGTTAAGGTTTAGCTGACAAACACAACTTCATAAAAGTGTCATATACATACTATAATAAAAACAAGAGCACACTGATTTAAACAGGCTGATTATTAATTTTAGCATGAGCACGGAAATTGATGTAAGCAATTTAGGACTACAGTTCAATCATATAATAACCTTCATTAAGAACTTGATTGTGATTAAGGAATTGAATGTGATGTGCATAAAACAGCTCATCTTTCTTTGATGTAAAGTGTGTGTGTTGTCAGAGAACGCACACACCAATTGAGCTAAAATCAACAAGTCACTCCTGTGGAGTTTGTTTTCCAATGTATACTTTGCTGAACTTCTGCAAACAAGACACTGGGGAGATTCACTCTGTGAACTAATGTCATCTTGGTGCTCATTTAGGTCCTGTCTGCCTGCGGGTTTTTGTCACTGTCACATTTTAGTGATGATGGAGATGGCATCTGTGCTGCATAATGGCTACAGACATAATTATATAGTTTCTTTCACTTCCCAGGACATGCAGTTTTTCCAGGACTGCTTTTCACTGGTGTCATCGGACCTACTGACTATATACATACAGCAACAAACGCGTCATCATTTGATACATTTTGCTTGTCCAGAGGTATTTGGTGGACAAATGAGCACATTTGATTTTGCTGAAGCTATTGGTAAATGACCAGATCAGATCCATGAGTTCGTTGTCCAACATGTCTTAGTGTGCCATCATCACTGTCGCTGTCACGACTGTATGGACATAAGCACAATCCTTTAAAAACAAGTTGAGGAAAGCTGTTGATCGAAGCCATATTGCATTACTCATGTCTGACTTAATAAAATATATGAGAAAAATTCATGAGAACTATCCTCAAATGTCAAGTCAGAGAAATGGACTGCACCAGCGGCTCTGGTGAACTGATCGATAGACCAGCTCCAGTGCCTGCTGAGCCAGCAGGGGAACTTTCATATTTATGTTTTTGACCTATTGGAACAGCAGAAGTAGCATAGTGAACTTCTTTACTCCCTGTTAACAAAGACACAACAGTCTAAGTTTGTTAGATGTTACTGCACCATATATGATCAGAGTCTGAGGCACAGTGTTTATGGGAGACTTCAGTTCTGCAGCAAACCATACGTTTCTGAAGAGCCGCTGTGAAGCTCAGTGTGGTCGGCTATGGCCGTCGCCATTTTGGAAGTCCTGACTTTAATCAAAAATTGGGCCAAGTTGGGTAGAGCTGAGGCTGAATGAAGCCTGGTTACTGAAGACAGCCGCCTGTGACGACACCCACCTGTCACTCAAAGCCGCCATGCCCTTAATTATGCATAACTTTAAGCCTTAATATGCCATAAAAAGCAGGGTCACAAATAGACAAAGGTCCCCTTTACTAGCCTGGTGTGACTTATATAAAAACTGACCCCCCATAAAGTTGCCATGGACAGGGAAATTAGCTATAGAGACCAGCACCAGTTTTTGTAGCAGCTGTAAACATGTTTATTTATGCTGTAAAGTTGGGCATTTTAATATGGGGTCTTATGGAGATTGATCACTTCTGTAACCAGCCTCAAGTCAAGCCACAGAGGTTGCAGCTTGCTTTAGACACACATAGAATGATCAGATTTTGTATGTGGGATTTTCCCAATGGCTGCATGCAAAGAAGGACCAAGTTCACAGAAGCTGATATCCAGGCAAAGACATCTAGGAGAACAAAAGCAGAGAAAAAAGCTCCTTGTGTCACACAAGTCACATTCACTATTTGAAGCAAATGGCAGTGTGCAGGTAGATGTGAAAAAAGGGCAGAGCTCCAAATGCTCTCAAATTCTCCACAGTCCTCACATAACCTCTGTGTTAGATATGGGAGAAGTGCAGCTGAAATCTAAATAAAATTCTGAACAACTGCCTAGAGACCCCAGACAGACTCTTCCCACACTGCCACTCCATGTTTTTAACCACAGTGGAGCAACTGGTATTCAGCACACGCCAGGAAACGTGTGACCGGTAGACTATACCTGTAAATGCAATATTTTGTTTGCTCTGCTTTGGATGGAGTTTTAGAGAAAAAGATGGTCTAACAGAGGGAACATTTTCTTAATCTAAACGAGTTTAGGGAATTGTGTTTTAACTACTGATGGCTGATGGTGATGGCTTTATTATATACTCAATATAATACTATACTCAAGGTATTATAATTTGGTTATCATTTATACATTGTATTTTGTATAGTAAGTTAGGTAGTGTATTTTGTACTCATTTATATCCTATATTTTATGTATTTAATTTTGTTTTTGTGTATTTTATGTTCAGATCTGTTTATTTTACTTGGCTTTAAACTTGAAGTTGACAATTTACTCAAAATGTATAGCATTCAGTGGATAACCATTCTTTCACAATTGTTTTTTTTTTTGGATTATTGCTTGAAGAAAGAATTTCCTTATTCCATTAAATTAATAGTTTATCATTTTAGAAAATGTGCTTATTTCTTGTCATCACCGTGAAATTGCCAGGTAACCAGCAGAAACTCCAGAAAGTTACTGAATGAAACAGCCTGGTACATAACCACCACCAACTTTTTTACTTGGACTTTTTGTATTGATTAAACAAAGATGTAATGTGTTAATAAGTGAGCTTTATAGGTGTTGGTCAGTGGGTTTTGGTTGCCTTTGGACAGAGTCAGGTTAGCTGTTTCCCTCTGTTTCAGTCTTGGTAAGTTAAACTGAGCTGCTGACTCTAGCTTCATATCTACCGTACAGATAAGAAAGTGGTATCAATCTTCTGATCTAACTCTTGGCAGGAAAGTCAATAAGTGTATTTCCCAAAATGTCAAACTATTGCTTTCCCCCTTCCTTGTGCTGTATTATGAGGTCAAGCACCAGTGATTCTTAGGAAGCTATTTCGCCTTAAACTTCCCTCCTCATTTTTCCTTCAACATCCTTACAATGTCTTCATGTATGTGTAGCTGTCTTTGTTCTTGTGCTTTTGTCTTCTTGGGAAGCCTTTGCCCTTCACCACCTTCACGGTTGTACTTTGTCACTGCTTGTGCGCTTCGTCCCTGTCTTATAGGGACAAACCACATGAAAACTGATGTTTAACCATAACTGATCGTGCCACGGCTACCCACATAGTGACACAGTTTCATGGTTCATTTAGCAGAGAAAAGACGCAGATCGCCGCTTCAAGGAGTCTCATATTTGTTTTGTTTTTTCTCTCCCGGTTTGAATGCAGCCCAAGTGAATGTGATGAGTTACCAGTTGTTATTGGGCTGTAGAGGTCAAACAGTAAAGTGTCATCAGATAGCTAATCAACTCATTCAGATATCATTACACTGGGCTAAATCCCTGTTAATCCCACTGAAGATTCCATCAATGTTCCCCCACAGGTCAACTTGTTCCTCTGTGTGTGTATGTGCACTCACATGTAGGCATAAGGGACAGAGAGAAAGGTAATTCTTCATGTTGATAGACAATGATTGTCCTTCACTGGGCCACGTTCACCGTCTCCTTTCCGTCCTCTTGATTCTCTGTTTTCCTGTTCGCTCCTATCTCACCTCCTCACCTTTCCTGTCCTCTCTTTCCTCACCTAGATTCCTCTTCTCTCTCTGTTGGCCGGAGGATTAGCACTCTGCTTTGGTCTTTGATTGATAAGACTTCTGTCAGTCCATCTGTCTCTTCCCTTGTGTGTTTGTGTCATCTCTCGCCTTCTCCCTTTGCACAGCACTCACACACATGCTCTGTTTCTGTAGAGAGCAGAAGTGGAGATACTGCTTCAGGCCTGTTTGTACGTGTAGACATCGCCTGCTGTGACTGTTGCCTGTAGAAAATAACAGACTCTGGCTATTACATTATCTGTTGACTTCCAGCTAAGCTTGTTTGAGGTCCAGGGGTTTTTGGCACGTTCATATTGTATTTTTGAAACCACATGAAGCCACATGTAGTCTTACCATACTCCACCACTCACAGAGTGGTTTACAACCCATTTAAGAATGGTGTCACATTTCCTTTTTCTCCATTCCTCAACCCCATAGAGGAATTATTTCTGGATAGTTATGGTCATCAGCCACATGATCAGATTGCCTTCTTGGATGTAGTGAATGCTGGATGTCTGGATGTAGCTGGCCAAAAGCGGAAGATGGCCAGGAATGGATCAGGTATGGAGAGACTCAGGTTTATTGCAGGAGAGGATACAAAGTGTGATGTGGATGAGAATGTGTGCCCAACACAGAAGACAGTGTTGACTAGCACTGTTGCATTTCTATATCTATAGCTATCCTATACAAGTAGGTAGAGTGAATATAAATAGTCTTTTATTGCATTATTGGAATTACTCTATGTTAGTGTTCTGTCATTGTTGGGAGATCTGACAGTGTCAGATTACAGATTAACTGTTCTTAA